CAAGGCTATGTGAAATGGAGGCGTCAGGTCAACTCATATCATAGTGGAAAAATTCTACTTCTACCAGTCCTTCATCACCTGAAACGAAATCGGGTGAATACATCTTATATCACTTATAAATAAAATAACGAAAATAAGTAGTAGTAAGCATTCCGACCTTATCTGATGAGAAGGACCTCTCTATGACGCGAGAGACCACAGATGCCGTCGAAGAACACTGTCCAGAAATCGATTTTGTTGTAGTTGACAGATGTAAGGAAGACTCTTCGTTAGCCGATGGCGATGGTGGCATGAAGCCTTCATAGAGAGGGTGGCGCCAAGGAGCGTGCCGGCAGATACTGGGAGCCGAATTGGGAGCTTGAATTAATAGAGCTCGCCCTGAATTAGGCCTACAACCGGAGGCAACCTCATCCGTATCCCTAGTAGCCGAAGCTTCATAAACGCCAGGCCGATATCGCAGACCACACGCCTCATAAGCGGCTGCCTGACGAGCTGTCTCCCAAAACTCAGCTTCTCTGAGCGCCGCCAGAGCTGCACGAACGGCTTCTGCACCAGAATCTAAAGAAGTTAAACTGCTGTGCGACTCAGAGAATGCCATAGCAGCCGACACATTAGCCTCTACGCTAATGGCTCGTGAGCCGACTGGCATCGGGCCTGAAGTTGAGGAAGATTGGGGGGATAGAGGTGGCTGATTATCAACTGCTTTGGTGTTATTTCGTATAGACGATTTGTCTGTCATGGATCCAGGATCCGTGAATGAGGCGATGGCTGGAATGAGGATAATAAGAGACTTTAGTGGTTCATCTATGGATATTATTATGCTGCACTACTTCGTATAGAAGCATAAATACTGGATTGATTCAGATAGAATTTAGATATCAATAGGCACATGATATGAATGGGAATTTTGGAATTAAAGCAGACTCACCTAGACACTATATCGAAGGGTGAAAATAATTTTATAAGTAAAAGTGGCCGAGAGCAATTTTAGGGATTCCTGGTGCATTAGATTGATATAGATAATGCAATGTAATAAAAAGAAAATTTTAAAGAAATTTTCATTACTAACCGCTATATGGTGCCGCAATTCCCCCTTTTCGCCATAAAACTGACAAGGTTGTGGAAGTTCCTGCCGGCAAGCGGGATCGGCCAGTGTTACGCTGTGCAGGTCGACACCT